TCTATCAAACGATTAGAAAAAGGTCCATACAAAGCACCAAAGCACCGTGAACGAAGTTTGAACCCGGTCCACAATCGACAGCACCAGGTCCCACCACAACCAGTCTCAATCTGTACAAGGGTTGGAATCACTTCATCCGAGGAAAAGGTCAAGTGATCGTGAAGATGCATTCCTGTAACATGTTCCTCATGACTGGTTTCCTGTGGCTGATGTCTTCACATAAAGTAAATTAGTTCTAGAACACCAAACTTTCTGTTACGCAATTAGTTAGCTTTAGCAACAAACAATTAAACTGCATAGTTCTAAAAAGGGTAAACCAATTGAAACCACTGAAAGCCAGTTTCAGCTTTTAACTTTGCGAAGTTAATAACTAGATAATATATCTGATCAGCCGTGATGCGGTTCACGCTCTGTCGAGTCATTCAGGGAAAATCGTTCGGTCTTACTCTCCGGCGTGTTCTGCAGTCGAAACACAGTCGAACGATCGGCGCAACAAACAAGCTTCTCGGATAGATCACATGTCATGCCCTAAATCGATCAAGCACATCTGCCAGCAACTGCTATTCTGGGCAAACGCTCGGGATGGATCACGTGATGTGAAATATCTAATCATGGTTCCATTCACACGCACAAACGCAGCCGACCGTCCTGGATAACCGACATCAGCTCGTGCTATGGAGGCATGTCGACCAGTCAAGTTTGTGCGTAAGATGAATCGCTAGAGGTGGCATAGAGATAAAACAAGTTTGCAAAAAATCACTAAGACCATTCACCACGCACCGGTTTCTTAGTTCAACATCAAATCGGTCATACGAATTATATGCAAGGCTAATCCGCATACGTTGCTTTCAGAACTTCTTTTGAAAAGCCTGTGTTGTTTATGGATCAACTTCCTCGGTGAATCCTCTGTAGAATCAGAAATACTTTAGTCCTTACAGAAATTGTGATTGATGGAATAGTTACATACAGAATCTCGTCTTCGTGTGCGGCTATCCCTTCTGCTACCTATTGATTATGAGCGCGCCAGCGAAGAAGCTTAAGACTGTCAGGCCTAAGGCTCTGGCCTCGCACCCACCAGACTTGGACATGGTGAAGGCGGCCAAGAATAGTAAGGGAGCTTCTCTAACAACGATCAATAAGTACATCGCCGCCAAGCACAAAGTCAATGTTTAGAATCTTGAACCCCAAATCCGTCATGGAATAGTACACGCGGTCGAGAAGGGTGTCCTGGTTGGCGTAGTCAACCACGGCAAAGTTGCGTCTAAAAGTTTCAAGTTGGGCGAGAAAAGCGCTGCTGAACACAAGCCCAAGGCACCGAAGGTTAAGGAGGCTGCAACTCCAAAGAAGCTGAAAGTGGCCAAAAAAACCCGCTAAGCCTAAGGCCAAGACCCCGAAAGCCTAAAGCTGTGAAGGCGGCTCCCAAGAAGAAGTAATTCCTGTTACCGGGCTATAGGCAGTTAGCGCTACTAAAATGGAGAACGCGACTAAGGCCCTCTTTAGGGTCACTAGGGTGGTGGTAACGTCACCAAATTATTACCCCCGGGATGTGTTCGAATCCCACCAATATCGCCTGACTTTCCCTTTGTTGGTTGAATGGCAGCCCTTTGACTGGCCGCTTCCCCCCCCTTCCTGAAAAGTGTATCTTTGTATTCAATAAAAGGAAGTAAAATGAAAATGAAATGAATCCACGATCCCAACCTGTTAGAAGATGAAACAACATTTCACTAGACCGAACTGGTCAGTTCATCCAGTGATATTACGTAATCATTCAGAAACTACTGTCTCCTGGCAAAATGATGGTCACAAACGATTCAGCTCAACCCATCAACTTATTCAGATAATGATCACTCAACTCCTTATCATACTCTCAGTGTAAAGACCCTATGCTGTTCGGGTGTGAAGGGTACTTTTGTTTGCAATGCTAAAGCCCTATTTAAACATCGCATGATCTGCCGTATACACCATCTTGAGACGCGGCCAAACCGTTCCGGATATAAATCGTGCATTAGTGCAATATAGTCTTTTCTTGTGAAATAATAACGCAAAAGGCTAGCTCCAGTAATGCTTCAGTTAATGCCGATGTGTTCCAATAGTTGTCTTTAATTCTATGGTCGCAAATTCAACTGACGTTTCACAATTAAGCATTGGCGACAGTGGGAATAGGATAAAAATAGATTATCGGTGTCCGAACACTGCGGTCCACGCAGCATGGCACGAGTGTGTTGGGGAAACCGGACGTGCAACGCAGAGGTTAGGCGTGGAGTTTTAGGTGGTCGCGGTTGTCCACTAGAGCAAGTAGTCGACCTTCATAGATTACGTTGGTTGGGACATGTCACCAGATAGGTTGCCACGGCGAGCGACGTTTGCCGAGGCAGGTAGCGGATGGAAAACGGTCGAGGGCGGTTAAACAAAGACCTGACACGGGGGCATGAAAACCCTAACCAGGACACTGGGGCACATAGGTCCCGTTCGGCTACCCGGCTGGGGACCTCGGGATAATCGTAACCCATGGTTAGAGACACCCCGTGATATGGCTGGGTGTCGTAAACAGTGGCACTCGTGCATCCACTCTTTATTCTCTATCTTCCGCTTAAATCCGCGTTCACATTCAAATCTTCTGTTGAATCTGTTTCCTACCTTCCACAAGTTTTCGCTCACGAATCTGTCCAGTCAACTCTCCCTCAAATGTCATTGTCTTGACCCGTGCGTATCATCGATCATCAGACATGCACTTTTCCTTCGCTCGTCCACCCAAACTCGGTTACCCCCCCCCTCCGTTCTCGTGACCATTGNGCACATAGGTCCCGTTAGGCTCCCTGGATGGGAACCCCGAGATGAAGGTCACCGAGCGATATGGCTGGGTGTGGTAAACAGTGGCACTCGTGCATCCACTCTTTATTCTCTATCTTCCGCTTGAATCCGCTTTCACATTCAAATCTTCTGTTGAATCTGTTTCCTACCTTCCACAAGTTTTCGCCCACGAACCTGTCCAGTCAACTCTCCTTCAAATGTCATTGTCTTGACCCGTGCGTGTCATCGATCATCAGACATGCACTTTTCCTTCGCTCGTCCACCCAAACTCGGTTACCCCCCCCCCTCCGTTCTCGTGACCATTGTCCCTGACCCTGATACGGTCTGACTCACCCGGCCCTATGATTATCGTACGGAGTTGCTTAATCTTATTCGGATTGGTCCTCTATCTCACCGATGCGTTGCACCGTCCAATGTGAGTTTTGACGTCATTTCACTTATCGCTTGTTCGTTTGACGCAGTGATGAACTCCCTCGTTTGCACCTTGCTTCTCGATCGGCATTGTTTATTTCGTCGGTTCAGGCATACCCCCTGGGAACGCCATGATTTGACGTGTGTGGTTTATGTAATTGTAACACTTAATATTTACAGTATCGTATACTTATTCGCTATTCTTGGAGACGAATAAACCTCTAGAACACTTGAACTGGGCTTCTGAGGTTGCGCGTTGGCCTGGAGAGTCATTTATATTTAACATCTTCATTATGCTCTTTTAAACAAATGGGCAACCAAAAGACAGCAATCAAAACCGGCGCACGAAAGTGCATGCTTAATGGGTGTAAAAACTGGAAAAGGGAGATGTACTAGCGATATCCTTAGTCACAACCTCACCTGAACTTCCTGAAGGTCGGAGGTCTTTTACTGTGTTCCGCCTTAAATCACTTTCTCTCTCTATTCATCTGATACGGGCGATTCGATTTTGCTTGCTTTTCACTCTCTATGGCCTTATGGGTCCGCGGTTTCACAGCCTATCAGTTATCGCAAGCTCATCTTCAGATCCCACTGGTTTCTGCCTGCACCCCACCCCCGAGAACATATGGTTACGTATATTGTACTACACTAATTCCAAGTGTGTAAAACCAAAAGATATTACCTTACTTTTCTCAAGTCCAATATCCTGACTTCAGTAAATACGTTCCCTGTTCTT